TATATATCTTTCTTATACAGTTCATAAACATTCAATTGATCGCTGTATGTTACATTAAAACGTTATGTATAATGTTTAAATTTATATATATATATATATGCTGACATGAATCTTTTTTCACAATACACAACCCTTTTTAGTTCCAATATAATATAGTTAAAATATCTTTCATTTCATAATGAAAATTTAAAAAAAAAAAAAAATAAAATAAAATAAATCACAGTTCGACAAATGCAGCAATTGTTCACTTAAAATCATTTCCATCTTCTGTATATTTATCATTTTTCACTTCTATCCTTAGCTGCGAACGTCCTCTCGTATGATTTCCAATTCGTGAACGTAGATCACCACTTTTTAACGTTTCTCTCAAATCTCGACCTCTTTGTTGTCTAAAATTGATTAATAATTATAATTAATATGATGTTAATTTAGTTGTAAGAAAAATTATAGAATAAAAACGTATGATGCACTTTTACCTTTCTTTTAAACTACTGCTGTTAATCACACTTTTGACACTATTTAATCTCGACCAAACAGTAGATGCAACACGTGGCTTATGTTGTACCACTTTAATTACGCTTCCTTTCGGTCCTTGTACTTCTTTAGCTTCTAAATCACTATCTTCACTATCAATCTCATTTTCTTCTTTTCCTTCACCTTCTGTATTTTCTTCTTCTTCCGTATCTTGCCATTCACCCTCTTCTTTCTCTTCAACTTGAATATCATCTACAATTTCACCATCCTCTTCCTACAAATAAAAATAAATTATTATACATATATATATATTTACAATCAGTTGATTGTAAAACACTTGTAATATTAAATGACGTGCAAAAATTACCTCAGAATCACTTGGTTTCGAAGAATTCAATCTTGTAGCATTATTATTTGTAACCACAACTTGTATAGCTTCTGGAAATCGTGTTGGTTTGATTGGCGCTCTACCAAGTCTCAATCTCAAATCATTTCCACTTGTCATACTATTCAACAACATCTGTTCATTCATTTAAAACAAACAAACAAAAAAAAAACAAATTAATAAAATACAAATGTTTACCAATGAAATAGGAAATAGTTTAGTTGTTATAAATAATATATACCTGAGTTTTTAGCTTAGCACGTCTTTTATGAATTTTCTTCTCCTCGTCATCCGCATGCATTCGCATACGCAATACTTTACTTTTTGTACACCATTCTTCTTCGCTATCACTTTCATTAGCACTGCTATTACTTTCTTCAACGCGTGCTGTACTTTTAGAAGGAAATTTAATTCCAAGCCTTTCCTTAATATTTCGTCCTGAATCCTTGTAATTATTCTTAACGATAAAATCATTTTCAACGGAATCATTAATTCCCCAAGATTGGGATAAAGCACCCCAAGGATTTTTCATGCGATTTCCAAACGTGCCATTTTCTTCTTCTTCTTCTACTGCTGTTGCTGTTGCTGTTGCTACTTCTTCTCCTTCTCCTTCTTCTTCTCCTTCCGATAACTTTTTTCTATTCTGTTTTATTTGTTTCAACTTTCGTTTACGAGATTCCGTCAATAATCCTTTTATTCCTGTAAAATATATAATATTGTTATTATTTAAGTTATTATTACATAGAATGATAACTGAAACAAATAAAGAAATGAGACCAATATATACAAAAATTACCTCCAAAATTAGGATTCCCATGTTTTTTATAATATTCACTCATCTTCTCTGCATTGGGTTGTTTCTTATCAGATCTGTTAGCAAATCTTAAGAATATTCTTCTAGATTTAGGACAATCAACACCTTTCCTCCATATTCCTGGTGGTAAAGGATAATCGATATCCTTGATATTTATCTCATTTGTATTTTTCTTTTCGTCAACTTCTTTATCGGATGAACTATCATATTCAACTTCCATAATGCAGTCTTCATTAACGACACTGTCTACTGTTGTATTCATATTATTTTTGTTATTTAATGGTTTATCAGTAATGCCTACAATACGTTTTGATAATCCTAACATGGCTCTAGCTGCCGATGCATTATCAAGCCATACAACATTACCTGTAGAAAAATTCAAAATGTTTAATGAAAGTTTTACATCATTGAAATTAGATTTTTTCTATTGAAGAAAAAGAAAATATATATATATATATATATTAATATATACATGATACGTCGTTTATCCATTCAATAGATGCCGGAGCATAATCTTCAAAATATTTAAAAACATCTTTCGTGCTCATGTCTTCGGTTCCTCTCATGTGTATCACATTTAATCTAATATTCCGTGTATTTTCATTATCTTCTCCTATTCCCATGCTAATATAAATATTGAACACAAAATTTATTAATATCATGTATAATTACATTATTATTATTATTATTATTGTTATTATTACTAATGACAAATGTAAAAAAATTTTACCTTGTATACAAATCTTGTTCGTAATTGGATAAATTGTTTTTGGTCAATCCAAAACGTTTAGCTCTCTCTACCATTTTTAATTTTTCTTCTTTACTAAATATGTCAATACCTGTTGTAAATGTTCCAGCACGATTCTCGTAACGACTTTCAGAAAACTAAAAGTATAATAATATGGCGTACATATTGAATTGTGTTCACTTATAATATATAAATAAAAACAAAAACTTAATAAATAAACTATAATTTATCTCAAAGACAAATTATCTTATCAAAGTTTCTTAATTACCTCTGAAGTATTAGAATTATTCAAATGATTCAGTTTTCCACTGGCTTCCAAAAAATCATTCGTTCCAGATTCTTGTTCCAGGGTCATTTCAACGTCAACAAGTTCTTCAGTTACCTCCATGTTTAAACACAATGAACTTTCTTTATATTCGATAACATATAATGATCCTTTTTAGATAAGGATAATAAATAATTGTTAAAATTTGTTAAGTAAGAAAATTATTTAAAAGTAGATAGGTTATGATTTACACAAATAAGAAGAACCACAAACTATGACGCCTACCAACAGTTGCAAATTCGTCATGAAAACGTATAACCATAAACAACCAATAAGGAATAGATATTCAAGGTTATTGATAATTTTTCTTTCGAAGCATTTGTAGCGAAATAACAAATGCGACAGTAGCGACATTACGTACAAATGCACAAGCTTGACTTAAGTTTAAAATCGATTATTCGTAGATTGTACGAACATAGAGAAAAATAAATCATTTTCAATAATTATGATTGAATGTTAAGTATCCATTGATTCCACTAATCTTTTCTATTATTTATCAAACAATTGTTACACATTTCACTTTAAAAATTAATTATACAATACATACTAATTTGATTATAAAGTACGATCACCGTAGTTCATATTAGAGAAAGTTCATTGGCTTTCAAAATTTGAAGTCGACCAATCAACTATCGTTTTTTTCAAACAATTTATTTTGCGCGAATATTTTATTTATTCAAAAAGAAATTCCTTTTTTATTTGGAATACCTGCAACGTATATATATATATATATTTAAAATATAAGTAAGTAAATTTATTTCTTAATAGAAATTTTTCTACATACAAATCTAGTTTATCTTCCAAAATATGTAAAAGAAATTTCAAAAGATCGTAATAATTAATCGTAAGTATAATTTTACTAGAATTGTATCGAAGAAATAAACTTCAGGTCTTCGTTTTCTTTTTTTTTTT